CTTTTTTTGGGTGAGATGAGAATGGTGTTTTCCACTGGCTTGATTGATGTTTGCTTTTGGGGACTTAAGGATAGCACCATGTCTCACTAGTAATGACCTTGGGAAAATGGCTGGGATGCTTCGGAGTTGTTCTTTCAAAGAATAGCATGTTTCCACTCGATGCTCTTTTGCGTGGTCAGTCAGAACCGGAGGCACAAATTTCTCAGCGACCCTTCTCATTTCCCAAATCTTCCATTAAAATTCACTGAACTGAGCTCCAAGGTACTCCAGCTCCAAGGTAACGTCCCCATCTCTTCACTGATGCATTGTCAGTCTTCAAGCAAAAGTTCATGCATTTTGTTGACACCTTGTCCATTTGGGAAGTTGGCAGATGTCCAAAAAGAGGTTTGTCATCAATCAACAGTTCACCTTTTTTGAAATGAGAAAACCACTCGTACACTTGAGTTTTTCCCATAGTGCTGTCCTTGTAAGCTCTGTTCAACATCACAACAGTTTCTGCGGCTTTTTTCCTGAGCAGGAAGCAAAATTTCACAGCTGCATGCTGTTCTTTTAAATTACTCATCACAAAAAGTGAGTTTCGAATGAAACTGCTTTTATGAAAAAATTGACTGTGACCAGCGAGAACCTTTCCAGGTGATGCCACTGGGTGCACTAACTCAGAGTGAGTTGCTCGATGCTCACCTAGCAGAAAAATGTGTGCTATGAAAGCTCCTCTCAGTGGAGCTTTTCCCGTTTGTTGTTTGTGTGTGTGTGTGTGTGTGTGGGCGGGGGGTGTACCCCCTTGTATGTTAATGATAGGGGAATAATTTTAAAAAGCAGAGTACAACATAAAGAATGTATCACTATCATGGAATTGTTCTTGTACAAATTGTTGAATGGACACATGTCCTGCTATGGGTATTTTTAACAACAACAAAAATAAAAACAAGTAAAATTAAAACTTTAAATTATTATTAGTTTGTATATTTTTAAAGGATATTGTGAAGCCAAAGGCACTTACTCCCTTTGTGTTTCTATGTAGTTTGCAAGGAGGCATTCAAAATAATAATTTATTGGACAGTAATGAGGTTATAGAATTGACCAGTGACTGAGTTTGTGGATGCGATTACACAGGATCAACTGATGCCTATGTAAGAGCACCATAAACATTTTGAGAACAAGCTGAGTAAGTTTCTGAAAGCTCACTTTTTTGTACCCTAAGCCTCAACCTTCGAACCAGAAAGCCAGAATACACATGCACACATACCACTAGTTGCCGTAATGATGATGACATTATCACATCAGCCGTAGCCTCTGAAACATTGCATTTGACCTCAAAGAGCAGCTATGAAAACAGTTTTGTACTCGAGGACCCACTGAATGCGATTTAGTGATGCCCTGCAGACCCCAGACCACGCTCTAGGTACTCCTGTTCCTGTCCAAGGGTCTTAAAACTACCTGTGAACCTCACTGTCATTCTGTACATTTTGAAACTGTCAGGGAGGTGTGGCAATGTATGGCCAAGATCCTCCTCATCCAGCGCGTAGTCTCTGACTTCTCCTGTAGTTGATTCTGATATTGTCATATAAATAATGGCAAGTGGAAGAAAGTGGAAGAATAGGTGTACTTCAACAATGTAAGTGGATTACTTTATCGGCATTTATTTTTCATTAGAGAAGTATGCACTCTTGGCTCAAGGTTAGACTTTATTGGTGTAAGACCACTTCATTCATTCCTTGATCTAATTTCCAGCTGGGAAGAGTGGAAGTTTTGACAAAATGGTTTCATTTTCTTCATTCAGGGTCTTATTGACTGTGCCCAACAGTGGGGAAACCTGATGAGAAAGTCACAGGTCCAAAGCCTCAGCTTCCACCCTGTAGCCATGATAGCACAGGCGAACATGCTCTTACTCCATCTTCCTCCAATTGGAATCCCATAGACACCGTGCATCCCGATCCAAGAGTTCTGCCAGGATCAAGTTTAATGTGATAATTAGTTAGGATTAAATTACCCATTTAATAAAGTGTTTTTACAGCGATGTATCAGTAAAATTGGAGAGTTGTTTAATTATGAATTGCCTTCTGCTGTATTTCACTGATCTTAAGGGTACATTTTAACATCTCTGAAATGAGAAGCAAAGGTGTTTCCATTTCATTGGTGGTGTTTTCCTCCTTTTTGGGGAAATAATTTTCCCTCTAGTTTTGAAACGTTATCTTCAAATGTTTTTTAAAAATGTAAGTACAAATGTCTTTCATGGGGAAGCTGACAACACAATTTACTCTTCTCTGGTTTCTATCAAGAGCCCTGGTGGTGTAACATGTTGAGCTGCTAATGCAAGGTCAGCAGTGTGAGCAGCCACCCCCGGAAGAAAGATGAAGCTGTTTGCTCCCGTAAAGATCTCGAGCCACCTTGGAAGGCCCGAGAGCAGTTCTGCTCTATTCTATGGGGTCCTACCTGTCAGGATCGACTCAATGTTAGTGGGTTTGGGGTTATGGTTTTTATTGTTTTCCTTTAAACAGAGAAATAAATGACTCTTGCAATGTTTTTTGTGTGTACACGTATATTTCCAAAATGTACATTTCCACATTAAGTGGAAACAAAATTAACATAAGCGCATCGGTGCCATTGTGAGTTCAAATGGTAGCTTTTTTTTTCTCCCTTCTTCTTTGCTTGTGTTTGGATTTGACCTTCAGTATTTATTTTTATTCATAACAGGTGTACTTTAGGACGGTGGAACTTATAGAAGAGCCTATAAAAGGATCTTTTGGTTTGAGTTTCTACTTCAAAATTAATGGACATCCCATATTTCTGAAAGGCTCCAACTGGATTCCAGCAGATTCATTCCAAGACCGAGTAACCCCTGACTTGTACGTTATCACCTTTATTTTCTTGGTCCTTAAAAAAATCAGCCCGACAAAGCTTACGAGTTGATCGTATTGGGTTTCTTTAATCTCAGCAGAAGGCGCTGAAGGGTACTATAGAATTCTAGAAATGGAAACGTTAGACTGGAAAGCATTTTTAAACTACATATTCCACATTTCTAGTGTATTTGTAATTTTATAGTTAAACTATTTCATCTAGCTGGAGCTATCCCATCTTCAGAAAACCATAAACACTTATTCTGAAGAAACAAGAAAACGACTAACACACATTTTTCAATATTTAGTCTCTGGGGTTGGAAGGATGCTTAAATTCAGAATCTTTTCAGATATTTGGAGAATATCTCATATATATATTTTATTATGTTTGAAAACATAAAACTGCTACATACCGTTTCATGTTAAGATATTTGTATATTCTAGATCTAGAAAAGAAATGGTACTTGCTTAAGCTATGAGAATAGAACTTTGGAAGAAAATATGATTTCCCAATTAGGTTCACAAAATTAGGTTTATCTTTTATGTGAAAAGAACGACATTTAATTTATTTTTTAAATATAGTTTATTTTTTAAATGCACTGCAGTATATTATTTAATATACTGAATGTATATGTGGTTAGTAAGTGCTCCTCATTTTGCCAAAAGTTAAAGTAAATGATTTTACTTCAGAACATGAATATTATTTTGAATTTCAGTGAAAGAGTAAAATTCTTCTCCAGGACCAGGCACAAGAGCCATTGGTTCCATCTTTTCCTTTTCCAGGCGTCCCTGTGGGCGGGGGGGTGGGTGGGTGGGGGGGGCAAGTGCTCGTTGCTAACTGCGAGGGGAGCAGTGTGGGCCTTGTCGGGGACACCTCGAGGGACGACTTCTGAGACATCAGCCAGTTCCACTCTGGCACTCATGGGTCTGGATGCGTTGAAACTGACTCCAAGGCAACTTAAAAAAAATGAATCCTTTTTTCTACCTGAGGATCCTGGTGGTGTAGTTCCCTGGAGTCGTGCCTTGAACTGCTAAAGTCAAGGCCACCGGTTTCAAACCACCAGCTCCTCCGAGGGAGAAATAGGAAGATTTCCACTCCCATGAAGAGTTGTGGAGAGCAAATGTTTTGAGAATGATGAGGGCAATGAATGTACAAATGTGCTTTACACAATTGATGTATGTATGGATTGTGATAAGAGTTGTATGAGCCCCTCATAAAATGATAAAAAACAAAACAAAAAAAGAAAAATAAATAAAGACATCCAGATTGAAACAAACAAAAAAGAGTTAGTCTCAGAGCAGTTCAACTCTGAACTACAGGGTAGCTGTGAGTTTGGAATTTTTTTGTATTTGTTTCCTCTCCTGCCTGTTTTTGGCTATGGGCTGTCCTGCACAGCCAGACCTATTCCTAAAGCGTCCTGCCCACTCGTGCTTTTGCTGAGAACCTAATGCCCTGGGCTCCTGACGAGCTTTGTGTTTTCCTCCTAATTCCTTCTTGGGCAGTATTTTGGTGATCAATGGTACATCTGCTCAACGTGGCTATAAACTTCTGGATTTTTCTGAGGGAAATGTGAAAAGAACTTGCAGAACAGAGAAAGGAAATTTACTAGAGGAAGACATACTGGCTAGAGGAATTGTAAAAAGGGATAAGGTGAGCTAGATTTTGATATTCAAGTCCTTATTGTTTGCTGTTGTTTGCTTTATCGTTTGACATGGTTATATAAAATTGTTGCATGCTTTCCTGCTTTTCAATGATATTTTCCTACAGAAATGATTTTCACTTAATAGAGGAAAGAACTATGAGTCAAAGGACACGTATAGAGGTCTAAATACATGCACATATGTAAATATATTTACATATACTTATAGGGAAACAGATCTATCTATCTATCTATCTATCTATCTATCTATCTATCTATCTATCTATCTATATATATTTATTTAAGTAGTAAGGCAGCAGATGGACATTGGGCCTCCACTCAAGTACTCCTCAACACAAGAACACTTTGTTCTAATAACCCAGCATTCTAGGATGCTCACCTTCCCTGACACGATTGCTGAAGACAAAATAGGTGCATAAGGAAATGTGGTGAAGAAAGCTGATGGTGCCTGGCTACCAAAAGATATGGTGTCTGGGGTCTTAAAGGAATGTTAATATGCCTTCCTCCAACCTTGATGCCACACTCTTCTTCACATAATCCAGCTTCTCTGATAATTTGCTCAGCATACAGATTGAACAAGTATGGTGAGAGGATACAATCCTAATGCACACCTTTCTCGATTTTAAACCATGCAGTATGCCCTTGTTCTGTTTGCACAACTGCCTCTTGATCCATGTACAGGTTCCTTGTGAGCTCAATTAAGTGTTCTGGAATTCCCATTCTTCTCAAGGTTATTCACAGCTTATTCTGGTTCACACGGTCAAATGCCTTTGCATAGTAAACGAAAGCCCAGTAAACATCTTTCTGATGCCAAAATCCATCTGACATCAACAATGATATCCTCTGTTTCACATCTTCTTCTGAATCCAGCCTGAACTTCTGCCAGCTCCCTGTCACTAGACTGCTGCAACCATTGTTGGATGATCTCAAGCAAAATTTTACTTATGCGTGGCATCAATGATATCGTTCTAGAGTTTGAGAATTGAGTCACCTTTCTTTGGAATGGGAAAAATATGGATATCTTCTAATCAGTTAGCCAACTAGCTGTCTTCCAACTTTCCTGGCATAGACGAGTGAGTGCTTCCAGTGCTTCTTCAGCCTGAAACATTTCAATGGCTTTTCCATCGATTCCTGGAGCCTTGTTTTTGGCTAATGCATTCAGTGTAGCTTGAACTTCTTCCTTCAGCACCAACGGTTCTTGCTCATATGCTTTCTCCTGAAATGGTGGACTGCCGACTAGTTCTTTTTGTATCGTGACTCTATGTATTCTTTCCATCTTCTCTTGATGCTTCCTGCAACATTCACTGTTTTGCCTATAGAATCTTTCTTGCAAGGGTAAATCTGCCGCACAAGACTTCTTTAGAGTCTTGAAGAGTAAGGATGTTCTTCCGAGGACTAAAGTGTGCCTGATCCTAGCTGTGGTATTCTCCATGCATCGTATGTGCATGTGAAAGCTGAACATTGAATCAGGAAGACTATAAAAGGATCCATGCATTTGAACTGCGGTGCTGGACTGCTAAAAGGACAGAGCAATCTGTATTGTTAGAAGTATGGCCAGCGTGGTCCTTGGAGGTAAGGATGGCAAGATTTCATCTACATATTTCGGACGTATTGTCAGGAGAGGACAGTCCCTGGAGAAGGACATTATGTTTGACAAAGGGGATGGAGCAGTGAAGAAGGGGAAGACCCTAGACGAGATGGATGGACACAGTGGCTGCATCAATGGGCTCGGGCACAGGAACAATTGTGAGGATGACGCAGTGTTTAGTTCTATTGTGTAAAAGGTCTCTATGGGTCGGAGCTGACCTGATGGCATTAATAACAACAACAAATATTTATGGGTAAAAAACCTTGTCTTTCCTCTCCAGGAGAGGCTGATGGTTTCAAACTGCTGACCTTGGGATTGACCGCTCAACTTATAACCCACTATGCCATCAGGGCTCCTTTAAATTTCAGAGCAGATAACTTATATTTAAAGTTTCCTCTTTTCTATAGGCTACGACTCCTTTTGCAGTCTGCTGTGGATGCCAACATGAATACCCTCCGGGTTTGGGGAGGAGGAATTTATGAGCAGGATGAATTCTATGAACTCTGTGATCAACTAGGAATCATGGTGAGTCTGCGATAACACTGTCTGCATTGATGGGTTATAGAGCCCTCTGGTTTCCCCCAATATTTTGAGTGGAGAAATTACTCGTTACTTCCTTTCCCAGAACTGAGAATGATGTTCCCTGTATTTTCAAAGGAATAAGTGGCATCTTGAAAACTCAGAGCCATAATTGATAGCAAATATATTAAGCAATTAATTTTATTTATTTATTTTTTTGGTAAGGATGCCTTTTTTTCCTTCTAATCATTTTATTAGGGGCTCATACAAC